TGAACTTAAAGAACCAATTTTTTAAAGTGTATAAAGTAAACTGATTCCCATATAATCTATACAAATCTTACTCTGATCAGGTCCTTTGTTGACATTAGCCCTATTACCTGTTCCATGAAGCTCTGCAGGAAGATACCCTGATACAAACACTTTACAAGGAATTGTAAGCACAAAAAGCAGCAACAGAAGTTACCCAAAATTCTGGCACTACATACTTCATATGTATCTGTAGTTATCTACCAAAGCTTAAAGAGAGAAGATGAAACAGTTAAGCAGCATAAGAAAGATAAGTAGCTTTCCATTTCCCATATCATCTCTTCTTGATATCTCGAGTTCATTATTTTCTAGTATATTGTAAATTCCCAGAACAGAATATATTTCAAAGAAATTTATAAATGGGATAGAATTTAGAAGTTGCTTTTTTCAGTTAGCCTAATTTAAAGATGTGAAAACTGAACTTTCAAGTCATTAAGGTCATGATTGCAGCTTCCCTTTTGACTTCTCCATTCCAAAGCCTTCTTTTCCTTGACTCCTATGGAAATGCAATTGCCAATATCAAAATATTCTCCAAAGATAAAAAGGGTTTATCAATGTGACCTTCTGAACAACCACCTTTTTTTTTTTTTTCTTCTAGGAGAGGAACAATTTTAGAGTTCAATATACTTCACACTTAAGAAACAACCCAACTTCAGGTCTCCCTACGCAATGGAAGTCTCTCTTCTAGAACACAGGATTAGAAACAACCAGAGAGCCAATGTGCCTTTTACTGGCTTTTTATCTTTCCATGTGAACCAAGACCAACCTGCTCTCTCTATCACATCCTTTTCTTATAATTTGATCAATAACCTCTTTGGGGGGGCTAAGGCTATAGCTTAGTGGTAAAGTGCTTGCCTCATATGTGTGAGGCACTGGGTTAAATCCTCAACACCACATAAACATCTACAACAACATAAATATCTAAAAAAACAAAAAACCTTTTTGTTCATCTAAGAAACAACAAATGAAAAAAATATCCAACATTAATCACTTACTTCAGGTGACTATCTTTTCTTCTACTCCGAATATTCTAAACATAGTTCATGTTCCTGCTGTTTCTCATTGTGCTGTCTTTTTAGAATATTAAGTTCCAAATGCATGTTTCTGTTTTTTATTGTGTGTTCTAACAATGAAAACAATAATCCTCCTAACTACTTATACAATTAAATTAAGATTCAAACTTGGTAAGTGAAAACATTCTGTAAACTGTAAAGTTAAGATAAAAGTAGTGCCCCCTATGTTAGAATGAGAAAGCATCTCTAATTGGTTATAATAGTATAAGAAAAAAAAAATTAGGAAATTATAGCCTACATTGGAGATTTAACTAATCTTTAAAAAAAAAATTAGTCTTCTGACATAACTCAGAAAGGCAAAGCAGTAGCACACAACATTTAGTAAATCGTGTATTTGTAAATGGTAGTTTACTTAAAAGAAGTTTATTCCTCTCATAATACAAATGTGTTGCTAACTATTTTTGTATACAATTATTGGCTATTAATATCACATGATTAAAATCCACTAATTTAAAAAATGTCTTTAAAGTAAAATCATTATTGCTTTCTTAATTCTGTCCTAATTTTCCTGAACAACTTACTTAGGCTTGGTACTCAAGTGAGATCCTAATTTGTTTAAGTTAAAATAAAAGAAAATCTAATCAAAATAGCTAGTAAAACAAAAAAACTCAAATCTTTCAAACACCTCATTAGAATACCTATTAATATTAATAACATCTCAACTATATTAATATATTAATATATCTCCTAATTACATATTAATATACTAATAACACCTCAATTAAAGAATACCTATTCAGCGGCTGGGGTTGTGGCTTAGTGGTAGAGGGCTTGCCTAGCATGTGTGAGGCATTGGGTTCCATTCTCAACACCACATATAAATAAATAAATGAATAAAATTAAAGACCATCAACATCTAGAAAAAATACCTATTCATCCTACACAAAATAACATTTTTACTGCCAAAAAAAATTATTCAAGAATGCATACTCACAGAAATTAAAATATTGAGAATTGGAAGTGTTACCTCCACTCTTATAAGATCAGCTAGGCTTAATATACAGTAGTCAAAATTATATTGAAAAAATGAAAATCAAAAAACTGTCTTTTCTTCAGAATATCACTATATCCAAAAAAAGGGGGAAACATCTCCTTTCATGGAAATACAAACCCACTTTAATTCAGGACGAAGACAATCACTAGAAAAACAACCACTAGACTGCACTTTACTCAAGTCTTCATTTTTTTCAGTTATTTAACATTGTATAGCATAATCTTCAAGTAAAAATTTAACAGAAAATATTCATATAAGGACCACACCATGAAAATACTTTATTCCTGTATCTCACTTCTGCTTTCCCTATTTCTATGTTCAAAACCAAGCATTCCCAATACCTATAAATATCCCTTGATCTTTTTTATAAATATTCTTCAAAAAAACTTGAAGAACCATACAATTGTAACTTAGTAGAAATAAGGCCTGATCTTAAAAATGTCAATGGTAAAATAACTTACTGGGACCAATGAAACAAATGCACCTTTAGCTAGGTATCTGTTACTAATAAACTACCAAAATCTCCACCAAATCTTGTGTTTAAGCTTGTTTTAAAACTCAGCTCCTTAAGCCAAAATTACCAAAAAATTTCTTAAAGTTTCTAATTTAGAACAAAGACAAAACGATCTTTATTTTCCCTTGAATGATTAAAATTTTCCTATATAATGTTGAACTTTACCATTTTATCTGTCCAAGATAAATTTGAAGAAAAATGAGTTCAATATTCCATAGAACTTGTTTAAGGTTGGGACTGACTAATCATATTTGCTCTCAAGCTTTATTGAAAGCCTTTTACTCATACATAAATATGTTAGTAAAACACAACGACTTGGACACATTTAAATTACCTGAAGCAAAATCAGAAACTGCTCCAACATTTGTTTGTGGAATATTCAGTATTTACTGCTATTTGTTTTTACTTTCCACCTTGTCATTCTTCATCAGATTGTACCTCACTTTACATTGCTTTAGCTACTTATTAACAATTCTGGCCAAAATATACATGAACACGTTTATTTAAAAAAAAAAAAAAAAAGATGGCAACATAACTCAAAGAGATTTTTGCTGTTTGTTTGGTATCTCTTTGCAGACAATCAAGGACCAAAACTTTTAAGTATCACTCAGGTAAAGACAAGACTACAATGCTTTATCATCCAGAAATATGTACAGAAGCAACAAAAAAATCTAATTGTGGCCATAAATGATCTAATTTTCAAGACAATGAATCAGTGAATTTGCAGATAAATAACATAAGAAAACCATGAGTGCCTTTTTTTTTTTCCTCTCAAATTTTCAACACTATATAAAACAAGGTATGTATTATAAACCTAAAAAATCATGATCATATCTGGACATACAACCACTCAACTGAAGATTAATCACAACATTTGAATTACCAAAGAAAAAAATTAAAGTTAACAAAAACTCACTTTATATAGTATCTTGCACCTTCAAAAGTATATGCTTCCTCCCAGCCAGTAGGCAAATCTAAAAAACATATAATTATAATCAGTATTACTTCAGTGGGTTACCACAATAAGTTTTAATCTATTTAAATTATTCTCTATCATGATTATAGCTATTTTCATTTCAGTAGGTTTACAACTAAAAAATAAGTGTTGAACTGGCAATAAAATTAAAAGCAAATATAATGTCACTTTGGGGAAGATGACAATTCAAATTTAAAGCCACCAGAAATTTAGAAGCAATGTTAGAGATTATCTAATATGATTTTATATCTCTTAATAATCAGGGTAGAAAGAAGCCTTCTGGCACCCAAATAAGCAAAAAGAAACCTTCCAATCCTAGGTAAAATACCCATCAATGGTTAGTAAAAAAACAAAACTGTGCGTAACAGGCAATGCCTGCCTCTTTTAGGTGTAATATGTATACTTAAGACCCTATTTTTCCACCACATAAATGAATTCATCTAGGAAATGTCAATGATGAGAAGGAATAACTTTCTAAGTAATTAATTAGTGGGAAAAAAATCTGATACTGAATACTTCTATGGTTGTATTTCTATATATTTGACTTTAACAGATGTGAAGTTTCAAGTAATAAACTTGAGAATGGTTCCTGAGAACATATTACATATAAGGACAAGTGGATTGGATTTAATCACTACTACCTCCCGGAAATAATCCATTAATGTGGGCACAAAATTCAGAGTCCAAGCAAAGTAAACCAAACCAGAAAAACATTAATGAGAAATCACATAAGAGAAAAAAAATTCTGTGGTCAAATGTTATCAAATCTGTGGAGGTAATTAGGAAACATATTTGATACACATAACCAAAATAACCATGAATAATTCCAACGGATGATCAAGCTAAATATATTTTTATTATCTAATAGGCTTTAATCAAGTACATTTGTTACTATCCATACAAGCAATGAGACCATCATAGTTGAATATGCATGCAAAACACCGAACAGGTATACCGAAGCCAAAGACTGACTGCACAGGGGAATTAAAAAATATGACGGTGTATTAGTCAGAAATGCCCTAAAAATGTAACCTCATCATGCTTGCTACACCAGCTTTCCCTTTCCTCCTCCTCCACCTTTTTGCAAATTTGAACACATTAGTCACTTCATTAAGCGTTTAATAGGAAAGGCAGGTTTGTTAGACATCCTGGCAACTTTAAGGGATTCACAGAATCTCAGAGTTAGACAAAGTACCTAGGAGGGCAGTTCTGAAGGTCTGCTAAAACCGGCCTCACCTTCGACCCCAGCAGTTCTCAGGCCTTTCCAATCACCAGAAGAACACATGTTTTATTTCAGACCAACAAGTTCCACGAATGTAAACAAAGAATGGCAAAAGAAAGCCAGACCCGCATTGAAATTGCAAAAAGCCCTTCTCCAGCTCAACTCACGTTTAGCGTTCAAGCAAACTACCAAGCCACCTGGGAAACTGGTTTCCCCGCCGACACCCTGCCACTGGGGGCCCAAATGCCCACACGGGGGCCACCCCTGGCTCGCCCACCGCCTCCAGGAGGTCTGTGAAACCTCCGTGCAGCCGCGAGGACTTTGGATCTGGATCGCCGGCGACTGTGGCTGAAAACGCCTCCTCGGGCTCCGGCTGCTCCCCCAGTGGCAGGAAAGAACGCGCCAAGCGTTTCCCCGAGGTGTTCCCTGTCACTGAGAGGATGGCAGCACCCCCGAACTCTTCTCCTCCTCCATCAGCCACCTACCTCCCACAAGTCCCACCTAAGACAAGGAAGCTGCACGGTAGGAGGCAGCTCTCCCGGGAACACGACGAGGATGTGGCGGCCAAGCGACAGGGTCCGGGCTGCAGGGCTGGGGGTGGGCAACCACTTCCTAAAGGCTGCTGGGGCGGCGGGAGTTAGGAGTGGGCGCAGAGGGAAAACTCGGATTCCAGGTTTCAGGGAGAGGGGAGTCGGCCATCCTAGGGGCGCGGGGAGCGTCCAGGTTGGGATGGGAGAGAGGGCGCAGAAAGAGGGCGCCGTCTCCAAGTGGTGATGAAAGGCTGAGGAGAAAGAGGCGCCCAGAGACTCGAGCGAACTCCCGGCAGCGCCCCCCCACGCACACACGGCTCCTCTACCTGCAGCCGCCCCACCTAGCCGCCGCCCGGGCCACGGCTCTGGGCAGGTTCCCGGGCGCCGGGCGGCCAGGCTCTGCCGCCGCCTCTCGGCGGAGCCCAACTCCGCTCGGCCCGGCCGCGCGCCGCCTTACCTGTGCTCTGCCGCCGGTGTCCGGTGACCACGGCCTCGCCAGTGACAGGGTGCAGCCAGGTGGTGCTCTTGGCCTCCTCACTGCAGGGGTGAGAGAAGGGGCAGAGACCGGGCGTGAGTGGCGCGCGGAGACGAGCCGAGGGGCTGAGGACGCCGGACCCCGGCTCCGTCTCCCCTCTCGCCAGCCTCCAGCCCTCCCGCCCCCTCCGGGCCCCCGCGCCCCCGCGCCGTCCCGGGATCTTTACTTGATGAAGAAGACTCGGCCGCCCCTGGTGATCCCATAAGTCCAGGACCGGGGCAGGGAGCAGATCCACTCCAGGTTCAGATCCGCCGCCATGTCTGATCCCCAGCCGCCGCTGCCGCCGCCTTCTCCTGCTGCCGCCGCGGCTGCCGAGGGAGGAGGGAGGGAGAGAGAGAGCGAGCGAGCAAGCGAAGGGAACGCGGAGTGAGCGCGGCCGGAGCGCGCCTCCCCGGCCCGGCGCGCCCCCGCGCGCGCCCTACCCCCTCGGGCGGCGCCCGCCCTGCCGCCCCGGCTGGGTCCGGCCCGCGTCGCCGCGCCTCGGCATCCTCCTCGGCCGCCCGGCCGGCCGCCCAGCCGCGCGCTCGGGGGATGGGCGAGCGGCGCCGCGCCCCGCCGCAGACCCCTCCCCGCTCCCCTCCCGCGCGCCCGCCCCCTCTCTGGCGCGAAGGTTCCGGGATCGAACGGAGCGCGTCCTGCCCCTAGGGCTTTGCCCCAAGGCTTGGCAGCCCGGAGCGCGGTTCAAAGCCGGAGAAATAATCCCCGCGCCCCTGATTTCTGTCTTTTTTAAAACAACAAAAACACAACATCTGAGCCTTGTTTCATAAGAGCTGTTGGATATCCAGGAGATTTTTCAAATATATATCTTTTTAAAATAGAAAGCTGTTTTTATTGAAATAGACAAAAGGCTTTTTCCTGTTTATTTGTTATGTGCAAAATATCAAAGATTTGACTACTTACCATAGACCCATGAACTATGAGTGGATTCAGACTTAACAAGGCCAGTTTTTTCTTTCCTAGGCCCCTTAAATCATATAATGTCTAATAAAATAAAAACTCACCTTCTCTTACTTTTTTTTAAAAAATACTTATATTCAATGTGATTTGTATCTTTCCTTGTCTTATGATATTACAATAATTGCTTACTTAACAATGTCCTTATAAACTATTTTTAAATCCCCACAACAACCCTATAGATAATATTATAATTCCCACTTTACGGATGGGAAAAATAAAGTTTGAAGAAACAGTGATTTACCCACAGGCATAGTAGTAAGTGGTAAAGCCTGATTCTAACTGGCTCTAGGATTTCAAAAGTCTGTATAACCACTTTGCTGTACAGTACTTGTCTTCTCCACTCCTTGTAATTTTGAAAAAGGGCAGATTTCACTGCAGCTGAGATCTCCTCCCTTAGCACAATCTAAGAGCACTTGGCTCTTATTGCCTCTGGTCCTCCACCACACTTAGAATTGCTTATGCATCTTTACAGCAAGATGACTCATTCCAACAGGATACACAATTCAGTAATAGTAGTACCATTTGGTATTCTTATAGCACCTTTTTCTGATCAGCTTTGGGTGCCTCCGGGGCATTATCTCATTCACCTTATCAGTAAACAGGCAAATAATCTTTTCCAACATTAAAGGAAACTAAGGCACAGAAAGGGTAAATGACCTTGGCTGAAGTCGCATCCAACGAGTCAGGTGGGATCTGGATAAGAATGCAATTTCAAAGGACTTTTCTCCCATACTCTGATTCCAAGGCCATTCTGTCTTTTTGGTGAAAAAGAGTCTGCAATTACTGCTATATTTTTTCTGTCCATCTACATATACTGGGAAGAGAATAACGTCACTTTAATGTATTCTCTTTTGGGGTTCCTTTGCATTCTCCTCTTTCATTTAACTACTTAGTACTTCTTGACATCTCTTGCCCAGTCTCTGGAAAAAATGACTTTTTTTTTTAAATCAATGAATAACTAGCAGAAAATGTTCCACATTAGCATCAGTGATCATTGGATATAACAGCAAGAAAAATCAAGAGCTGTTTACTTTATATTGTGCTATTATTTCAAATAAAAAAATCTAAAGTGAATATTTTTAATATTAATATCACAATAACTTTAGAAATCTAGTACTTGTTAGTCCAGCTATGGTATTTGAATATTTGTGTACTACTGAGAAAGTCTGTAAATTGACCATATGCTGTACTGGGATTCCTTTTACCTCTGAATCTTTTGATAGTACAAAATTCATTTCTGCAAGGCATATTTCAAAAAGCAGTAGTGATTCACTTTAAATGTATATCTTAAGAAATCATATTTATAGTGCTCAAGTGGTAATCTATAAATTCAGTACAATTCTATAATATGTCCCCCAATTTATGAAAAGCCTTAAGTTAAAAGTTTAGTGACATATACACAAAGTAATGCATGCTTCTGATTTGTGGTAATAGCCTATATGACTACCAGAGTCAATAAAAGCAGCCTCGTACATTAGAATGTTGGGCACTCTAATTTACCCTTCATTAATAAAAATGTTCTTAAAATTTCCTAGAATGCCTTTTCTCTGTGACTGTACCTTTATGCAGCTCTGTTTTATCTTATAGTTGTGGGTACTTGTGGGTCTCCTTTGCTATAATAGGATAGGAATCATGTCTTTCCCATCAACGAATCTCTACAACCTTGAGTCAGTACTGGAGTGGTTAGTGAATTTAATTTTCTTCCAGTGCCTCAACCTCCCAACGGAGTTATTTTCCAATAACAAACCCCCTTTTATCGCCCTACACCTCTTCAGTAACTGACTCAGACCTAAACTCATATCTAACCTCTGCTTTTTATTATATTTTTTTTTATATTTCTACCCTAGGAGACTATTCAATTTTTTGTATCATGATCTGCCTTTTGGAGAAGTATTATCTTATGACTATCACAGCTGCTTCAAAATAGGAGAGGTTTACAAAGTACTAAGAACTAAAAATAAACATCATTCTCCCTTTATATAGAAGACAATCCTTGTTCTAAAGGGCTTACATGTAGTTCAAATAAAGCAGAAAAATCACATAATGACAGGGAAAACTGAAAATTGTTTCCTAAAATATGTAAAAGGAAAGAGAATAAGGTGACATCTTAGACAACAGTGAATCAATTTGTTTCCCCTTTTAGGAATGAAAAATGTGAGTTCTAGAAAGTCGGAGAAAGAGGCTTGTGAAAGACAATAATTTCTTTTACTATCAAGCAACATCTATTATTCACATATATTGTTTATTAAAATCTATCACCAAGTTTTGTGACTTTTATTAGGTTATTTTGTGAATATATTTGTGATATTTTATATATTTTGTTACAGTATTTGTTCATGAAGTAAAATAATACAGTGAGTCACAGATGAAACCATTTCATTTATTTTTTAACAACCGTATATAGGATTCTTACTATGTGCCAACCACTCTGCTAGGTGATAGGGATTAAAAGACTTGGCCTGCTTTGGGCAGCTTAGAAAGGGAGATAGAGATCCAAATACTTGAGTATAGTGTGGGAAGCAGCATTTCTCTCCTTGTTATAGAATATAAACTTTATATAGCAGTTGTATTCCTCCAGGGAAGGAGATAGTTCAAAAATATCTTCAAGGAGCTTGCATTTGAACCCCTGGACTCATTCAGATTACACACCTCTTCCTTTCCCCAATCAGTAAAGCTCCAATCACCTTTTCTATAAAAGAGAAAGGCCAAAATTCAAATGGAGGAGAATTAAGAAAACAAGTCTGAGTCCGTATGTAGCTCAGAGGTAGAGTGCTTGCCCAACATGTATAAAGCACGCACGCGCACGAACACACACACTCCATTCTCAAAGGTGATTGTTTTTCAAAAGAAAACAAGTTGGGGCTGTGGCTCAGTGGTAAAGCACTTGCCTAGCATTTATGAGGCACTGGGTTCAATTCTCAGTACCACATAAAAATAAATAAATAAAGGTTCATTGACAACTAAAAAAAATATTTAAGATATAAAAGAAAACAAGTATGTTTCAATGGAGGAGCAGAACATGAGATGGGGCGAGGGAACACTGAGTTAGGAGTCTGGCTGGATTTTACATTTGGCTTTGCCATTAACTAGTTGCATCAGATTAGACAAATCATTTAACCTCCACTTTCCACTCAGACCTCTCGATCTTCATCTGTAAAATGAAGGCATTGACCTATTTAGGACATTACATACGATTCTTTTTCCAACTCTATAGAATTGTTAAGATGTTCTACCATTCATACTTCCTTATGGAAAAGTTTGGAAAAGTGATTTACAATTTTTTTACATGTACCATCATATTTAACTTGTAAAAGGGGCTCTGTAACATAAGAAAACATTCACATTATAAACAAGAAAATGGGCTCCACAGAGATATCATATCAGATGACCAATAAGTGGCTGACATGGGGCTTGAACCAGGGCTAGCAAACAGTAGATTTTAAGTTCTATCCACACATACTCCCTTTCTAGACAAACTTTATTTGTTCTATCTCATCCTCAGTCACCCTACTACTTGTCACAGTTGGGGTCTCCTTGAAACACTTCACTGCACCTGGTTCTCCAGATCACCAGTGTTCCCCACCCCCATAGGCTATCAAGATCTTTTCAGTTCTAAGCTCTCCTATTCACATAGTCATCACTTCTCTTTCAAACTCTACACTTTTGGGTTTCATAGCACCACCACCTTGCAGTTCTCCTCCTGCTTCTTTGGCAACATTTCTCAATATTGGTCCATGTGCAGCAGAATCACTGGGGAAGCTTTAAAGATTGATCCCTGGAACCACCATTTGACCCAGTTATCCCACTCCTCAGTTTTTACCCAAAGGACTTCAAATCAGCATAGTATAGTGACACAGCCACATCAATGTTTATAGCAGCTCAATTCACAATAACTAAAGTATGGAACCAACCTAGGTACCCTTCAACAGATGAAAGGATAAAGAAAACGTGATATATATACACAATGGAATATTACTCAGCCTTAAAGAAGAATGAAATTCTGCCATTTGCTGGTAAATGGATGGCAGGGAGAATATTATGCTAAATGAAATAAGCCAGTCCCAAAGAACCAAAGGCCAAATGTTCTCTTTGATATGTGAATGCTAATTCCCAATAAGGGGGTGGGGCTAGGAAAGATTAGAGGTACCTTGGATTAGACAGAGAGAGTGAAAGCTAGGGAGGGTGCTGCAACACTAGACTAGATCATTCAGGGTCACTCCAGGTGAATTTGGATTGGCACGAAATAATCACACACACAGACAGAAAGTACCTTTTTCTTAGGTTCTGGTGATGGCTCTCAACCTTAAGGGTCCTTTGGAAAGAGAGAGAGAGCTGTCTAAATACTTAATTCTTATATGGGGGGGACACACAAAGGGAGGTTCCATAGAATGTTCTTTCCAAATAAGGCAAAGGGTTAGGTTTCAGGGGGTTGAGTCTAGCTACATGATGTCTTGTGGTCAGTTGATTGACTGACATCTTGGCAAGTAACACCTATCTCAGGTGCTGTGCGGGATCAAAAGGCAGAACGAGCAAAAAGGACATATACATGCACAGCCCAGACAGAGCAGCAACATCAGTCCATCCACTCATGCACTCAAAATGCTCACAGCTCACACACACAGTTCACATGGCTAGTTTAACTCTACATCATGTACAACCAGAAGAATGAGAAGTTATACTCCATTTATGTATGATGTGTCAAAATGCATTCTAACTGTCATGTATAACTAATTAGAACAAAAAAAAAAGAAAAGATTGATTCCTGGGCCCCTCCCCAGACCTAGAAGGGTTAGACCAAGGAATCATCATTTAAAAGCATTTTGGTAATTCTTGTATACATTAACATCTGAGGACCACTGATCAATAAGATAACCATTCCTAAATCTATATTTCTACCTTAGACCTTCCTCCTAAATTTTAGACCATATATCAAATTTTCTTCTAAATATTTCCTTAAATACTTCAATGCAACAAGCTGAAATCAAATCACTTTCCATGCATTACACTTTTTAAGGAAATGGTGCAAGCATACAACCACATACTCACATCAGAAACTTCAGAGTCACTTTCCCCACAACTAACTGGTTAATAAATTGTACTATCCATTAAATATGTCACAAAATTATCTCTTCTTTATTTCCTATATCCTAATATGAACACTTATCACTGCCACCAGAATCATTTTTTTTAAAAATACAAATCTGTATAACAATGAGGGTCTCCTTCCACCATCCATGCATTTCCCCTTCTTCCTCCCTTTCCCTCCCACCCCTCTTCCCTATTTAGAGGTAATCGTCTTCCCATGATATACAAAATACATGTATGAAGATGTGAGAAAAAAAAATAGCATTACCCTAGATTAGGAAGAGAGAAGTGATGAGAGGGGAGGGGAGGGGATGGGGAAATAGGAAGGACAGTAGAATGAAACAGACATTATTATTACTGTGTGTATATATGTGACTGCCTGACCAATGTGATTCTGCAACCTGTATAATCAGAAAAATGAGAAATTATATCCCATCTGATTCAAATGTATGATATGTCAAGGTCATTGTACTGTCATGTAACTAATTAAAACAAATTTAAAAAAAAAGAAATTGGAAAAGGAGAAAAACAACTTCAACAACACTGCTTTTAAATCCTATACTTGGCTTTGTATTGCAAATATGAAAGCCTCATGGCTTCCTAGGGTTGGATCCAGAAGATTACATGACTGAGGAGGGAAATCTGAACTCTGATTGGTTACTAGTTTCATGGCAAGCAGGGCTCACCTCCTCTCCGTTGACCATTTTACAACACTGTCTCTGTGTTGTCTTTAAAACCAACAATATTTTAAAGGGATTAGTTTTACAAACTATGTAAAAATAAATTGATATTAGAAACTTTTTAAATAAATAAATACATAAATTTTAGAAAATAAATAAAAATTGATATTAGAAATTTATAAATAAATAAAAATATTTATTTTTAAAAATTATTTTTAAAATAAATAAATAAATAAAAATGTGAGTGTGATCCTTTTTTGAGTAAAATTCTTTCATGGCCCCAGAATTTACATGATAAAATCTTAAGCCTGTTGCTTTTCATTTGGAAACCCATCAGATTTGAGCCCTGTCAGCTTACATGTTACCATGTGGAATGACCTACTGTTCTGTGAATATGTTAAACTCTTTCATGCCTCTGTGCATGGTACTTTCCCCCTCCCTAGAATGTCATCTTTCTTGTTTACCTAACAAACTCTTACTGATGTTTAAATTCCTAGCTCAAATTTACTTCTGCTAAGAAGCCATGCCTGATTCCTCTGACCAACCTAGTTACTTCTTCCACCATATTCCCATATCTTCTCTACTGAATTGATATTTTGGTCTGTATCTCTTACTTATGCTTTAACTTCCAAAATACAGCATTTTATTTATCCATGTCACTTAATATTCAATAAACATTATTTAAGTGAATACATACTAGAACTTACATTTATATAGTACTCTATATTTTATAAAACACTTTATATTTGATGCTTATTTCTGTTTGTATTACTGCAACCTGTCATGAATCTTATTTCTATCCTTTCTTGAATTTAACACTCTCTTTAGCTTTTTATAGACTATCCAATATACAAGGGGAAAAATGGCAGGGGCCCAAGAGCAGCATAAGAGTGTATTAAAATAGCTGCTTCTATAGCGCTGTCTACCTGGCTTAAAGAATACTAAGGATTTATAGTTATTTTGAGTGAGGCATTGAAGAACAGAAAGAGTTCAGCATTATATTTAGAGATTTGTTAAAGGGATCTATGTAGCCTTTCTTTGAAAATAAATTCTTTGTAAAGAAAGTTATGTTGATAAAAGTTATATGTAATAACTAGAAAATTAAATGTAGTTGAATGACCTGGGAGAAAAACTAAATAAATTTGTATTATTAATATGTGTAGCCATAAGTGACAAAGGTTATTGGATCTCATGCTATATTAGTCAACTTCATGTTACTATAATGTACCTGAGATAATTGAATTATAAGAGAAAACATTTGGAGCTTCCAGTCCAACATTGGGCAGATCCAGTACTTTGGATCTCTGCCGGGGGTGCAGATGGCAATGGCAGGGGAAATGTAGCAGAACAAACTGCTTATATCATGAAAAAAGAGAAAGACTGGATGGGCCAGGGTCCCCAAATCCTCTTCCAGGGTATACCCCCAATGACCTAAGAACTTCCCACAAGGTCCCATCTCACAAATATTCTACCACCTCCCAAGTACCACCAGGCAAAGAAGGATTGAACACATGGGCCTTTGGAGGATATGCTTGCAAACCATAGCATGTGACCTAAGTCAAGGGATAAATGAAGGATATTTATTTTTTTTCCTTATTGTTCCAAGCATTTCACGGTGTATGAATACCGTGTAAATAGATTATTTTACTTCAATATTTTGGATCACTACTTGCTTAAAACATTTTTCCCGTTTGACAATGCCTATCTTTTCACAGAAAATTATGCACACAATTATATGCACACATTTACTTTTTAACCAATTTCCATGTTTGATTCATATTTGATTCAATGATGTACATGCAATTGTATAAATGATAATCTAAACTAGAATATCTGGGCTGGGGATGTGGCTCAAGTGGTAGCGTGCTCACCTGGCATGCATGAGGCCCGGGTTTGATCCTCAGCACCACATACAAACAAAGATGTTGTGTCCACCGAAAACTAACAACAAAAAAAAAAATTAAAATTCTCTCTAAAATAAATAAATAAATAAATAAACAAACAAACTAGAATATCTGTAGTTAATTGTAATATATCATAAAGTTCAAATTAAGGAAAATGTACTGCAAATGCAAATTTTTGCATTATCATAGTCACGGGTCTTGTGTATAATTTATATTCAACAAATGTTTAGTAATTGAATGAATTGTAAAATAACGGTGTACAGCGCTGGGGGGAATAATAGTGGCTTTTTAACAAAGCTCTTCTATTTTGAATACATTTTTCTTAAAACCAAACAGTTGTTAAGTGCAGAAGTTTCTCTCAGTTGAATTTCTAATCTAGAGAACATACGTGTTTGACCTAAGAAAATCAAGAAAATCTTATGAATAATTACAATAAGAAATATGAAAAAGCTTTAAAGGAAAGAGCTGAGAAAAATGAATCACATTGCCTTAAATTTCACTCTTTACAGTGCTGTGAGCGGTAACAAAGGAAAGGAGAGAAACTGAAGCTGTGTGGAACCCATTTTGGTGAAAGCTTTGTTGTCCATCGAACTGCCCAACTGAATTATGTAAGTATAGACCTAAGAAACAACATCAGTTAGAGTATGTTATTTTATTTCCATTTGTATCATTTTGACCCAACTATGCCATTTGTGTAGAGTGGATAGAATTGGCTATGTAATTAGCTATTTTACTAGAATATTTTTGGCAATCTTGATCAAAGGATGATTTAAAAATGTTCATAGCTGTCATAGCATTTATCACCAACAAAATTCAGTTAATTCTAAGTTTACCAGAAATATTTAGCATGCTCAGAAGATCAGATCATATTCTAAATGTTGATGAAAATTAAAGATTCACTTATGTTCATAAGCAAAAAAAAATTGGTGCTAAAATATTTTGACAGCTGAAGTTCTCTGTATACTATTATTCTTAGTACCTTTATTGCATTTGAATAGAGATCTTTTATTTTGTTTATTTATCCAAACAATTCAAATAATAACCACTTTTCATTATATATATATATATATATATATATATATATATATATATATTAAGCTAGGGATACTGGGGCTTCAAAATTCAGATATTTGGGCCCTCAAGGCATTACAGTCAAGTGAAAGTGGAAAAGAGTAGGGAAGAGAGAAACAATTATTGTATCAGCTCTAAATGACATGATAGATACAGCACAAGATGGAAGATAAAAGCTTATATAAAGGACATCCAGCTTGCAACTGTGGTGAGATGTGGTTAGGGAAGCCTTCCTAGAGAAAGTGGCACCTGAGTTGTATTGTTAATTAATATTCCCCTTACAGGCATTTAAATTGGTAAATTACACTTTGAGCTAACTCAGCCTCCCTCCTTTGTCTTCTGTTAGGGTATTAGATATAAGAAGTCTGAAGGCATGCCTGATAGAAATGGCTAATGATTGACCCCCACATCGCTTCTTCCCTATGAGATACCTTTTGATTTTGAGTTGACCACACTGATGTGTGAAATAAAGACATATTTCTGAGAATCCCTCTACGTAGTTGTAAACCCTGAGATGGGGTTCCAGTAAACAAGAACACAGAAATGTTTGGCAGGTTATGGAAAATTTCCTTAAAAGATGGTTGACAGATATTTGATCCTTCTTCTTTCCTTCCTCTACCTGCTGCTTGGAAAGTGGTTGGAAGACTATAGCTCCATCTTGGATGATGAAGACAAGGGTCCTAAGGAAGGTAGAGCAGGTACCTGGATACAGCCTAGGATCCTAAGAACTTCAGGCAGCTGAACCAACACAACTCTGAACTTTTCCTTGAGACTTTCAAAAGAGAAAATAAATTCTATCTTGATTAAGCCAATGCTATTTGGAGGGTGTTTGCTACTCTCAGTTGAACCTAATCTTATCTGGTGTATTTTTTATTTTGTTCACCAGCTCTTAATATAACGCCTAGAACATGTCAGGTGCTCAATATTTTTTTCCTGAATGAATATATGAATTCCTTCGCACCTACATTCAAAATCACATGCATAAAATTGACCATATACCCCAGTAACTCCTGATTAATCTCTTAGATGACCCAGATTTTCTCATTGCCTACCTCGTTCTTTCCTAAGAGACAGGCAAACCCTCTCAGAAGCGGCTTTAACTCATTCTGGTAATTAGACTATTAACTTCTTTGATATCTTAACTTGAACTGTAATAATAAAAAATTAGTTACTATCTTTACTTACCCCTCCTTAGTGTCTTTATAGACTACATGTTGTTGATATATTTTCATATTATTACAAACAGAAAGCAGAATTGACAGAAAACTTAATAAATACCTTTGCCAACTGTGCACCAAGGGACATATGTTGTGGTTATGTTCTTTCTGCCCAGATCTCAGGAAAAGAAACAGAAGAGAAACAATGCCAATATTATTGAAATTCTCCCAAACACATACTCTTCAGAAAAACACTACCAATAATAATTATTAAGGGTAAGAACATTGTCAAGAAGATGTCTAGCATATAGTTTGTTCTACAGATGTAATGAAGTCTAAATAAACATTTTTAAAAACATTTAAAAAAATTTTTCCAGATTGTTTCAGTACATTACATGGCAATGCCTTTTTATTAAACATTTTGAAATGTAGAAAAGTGCATTAGACTCAAAAACCTAAGCTTTAATATCTTGAAATAGCTTGAACTGCTCAGATATAAATGTTTTAAAATAGAGATGGCATTTTTCTAGAGTAGAAAAGAAGGAAAGGTAATTTAGATTAACAGTAATTTACATGCTGTTCTCGTCTTTGGGCAGCTTGCTGTGTTTTGTCCTCTAATGTCCATCACTTATTTTTATAATGATTACTCAAAAATAGGTAAACCTGAGTGGCATTTTTTCTCTTCTGTATATGAGAATTGTCCTCCATGAAATTATGCTTAATTTAGAGACAGAGATGACTTGTTTTAAAAACAATTTAAGAAAAGGAAAAAAAGAAAGAGGAAAAACTCATACTAAACCAAGATTCTAATTATCTATTGAGTAAATGCTTAGAAGCTCAAAATGATTTTTCAAAGTCTTTCTTTTTTTTTGCTGCTCAATGCCTTCCTAGAAACTATATTGGAGAATTCTCCTTTCAGACCTGAAGAATTTGCCATCAGAAAGAACTTTCTTTTTTCCAGTCCTTCACAAGTCAAGGTTAATGGTGTAGAGCTCCAGGAGTAAGTGTAATCCTGTGCAATTATGAAGCAGAATTAGGAGGAATAGGCTGAAGGACACCACTGATGGAGATGGGTTAGATGAAAGGAATGAGTGTTTCAAGGGAATGAAGGAACTTCATCAAGCAATTAGAATTCATTTCAAAATTGTTCCAAGATATTTATGTATCTAAATTGTAGCCTCGTGTGTAGTATTCAGGAAAAAAAAACTCACAGAATTAGAATTATTATAGCCTGAAATAACCTCATTTTTGTATCTTTATTTATAGATGAAAAAGTAAAGGCAGAATCAGCTACATAATTTTCAGGATGCAGTGCAATGTGAAATGTTGGTCCCTTCCTCAAAAATCATTATGCATTTCAAGTTGGTAACAGCAGAGCATTAAATCAGTTACAGAGTACCTCTGCACACAGGGCCTATGTGACTACACAGGTTGCACATCCATGAAGCCAGTTCCAAGAGGTAAGACTGGTTAAATTATTTGCTGGATGTGGTAAAAGTGATTAGGTGCAAAGCTAGCCTCCTGACTCCTTGTTTATTATTTTTTTCTTTTTTCCTCCCTTCTCTCTACATTCTATTATTTCTCCATATTCACTTCATATTTACCTTAGAAGAGTACATATTTATTCATTTATTCTTTAATTAATGTTTCTTGAATACTGACTTTGTGGCAGGCAGTGTATTAGGAATCCATGACACAAAAGACACATTCATTAAGCACTACTTAAATTCTGGGTACACAGAAAAAACTATAGGGGGGCGGAAACACTACTTATATAAAGATTCAGGGGATGATAAAACTCTGACATACTACCACTGAGAGTTTAATAGATAATTTTCTGGAGGGCAATGTGATGTATGAAACAAACATTCTTAAAATGAGTATGCCTTTGACCCAGAAATAAGACTTCTTGGAATTTATCCTAAGGGAATAATAAGAAGTGGGGGCAAAGTTATATGTGCAGAGTTATTCTTCACAGTGACTTTTTTTTTCTCATAAAGATCCAAGAATGTGGGTTTTGTTAAGCACTCTTTAGTTTACCTATGGTGTTAAACATATATAAAAATTAAAAATATGGTTGTATAAGACTATTAACATGGGAAAATGTTTAGAATATATAATAAGTCTAAAAGCAAGGTGTGAAATTGTATTATAACACAATACTTTCTTTTTATGTTTTTGATGCTAGAAAATGTTTGTAACAAGGAAAGCAGCAAAGGACACATACCCCTAATATTAGCAGGGATAAACTTTTTGAAACTATTTTTTTTCTTTGTGGTTAATGTAGTTTGCAATATTTATTTAACTTTTGTTAAATTTAATATTAAACAATTTAATGCTAAATATAAATTTAACATTTAATATTTGTTTTATAAAACAAAATGTTAAGTTCTCTCTGTATTAAACTGTGAAAATTATGTTTTCTTAAATACCTAGAGACAAAGGGCAGCTATTCTACATTTTACCATTGGCAAAATTGATGCTTAAGTTACATAGATAAAAGATCATTGATAATTAGACTTAACTAATTATCAATCATAAATTTGGATGAACTGAAATATTTCCTTATCACTGAAAGAACTCATAAGTTATATAGTCCAATCTCTCAACTAAAGTATTAATTGTCTCTGTAATATAGTTGGGCAATCTAAGATTACCAAATGCAGAGATAGATTCTTTTAATTTGTGAAAAGCTGGATATTAACTAAGTTATAACAAAGAAAGACCTATTTAGAATCAGAACACCAAGATTCTGTAACTACATTATGATTATTTGATATAATTGTGCATGATACAGGCAGGAGTGGGTATATTACAGAGTAGATGCTGTTTGAAAAATTCATCTGCGAGGTGCTGAGCAACTTAGTGAGACTCTGTCTCTAAATAAACTATGAAATAGGGCTGGGGTTGTGGCTCAGTGGTTGGGTGCTCCTGAGTTCAATCCCCAGTTATCCCCCCCAAAAAAATATCCATCCCAAATTGAAAAAAAAAAGGCATCAGACTATTTGTGTGCGGGGGGAGAGGGGGTTCACAAAATGTAATGATTATAAAATTGCCTTTTATCTATACAATTACAAAGACAAAAATGTGTTACTGAGTGAGGTTCTGAATGAACCACTTTTCTGATGTATTTTTATGGATAGGGTCTGGCATATTAGCACCTATTAGTACTCAGGCTTAGTCCTAATTTTCCTTTCTATGCATTCTATCATTCTATTCTACATTCTATTATTTGAAAAAAATATTTGGTGAATGGTGACTCTAAATAGCAAATACAGTGGCCAAAAGTCAACTCATGTAGTAACTACCCTCCTTTAGGGTTTTAGACATGGATTATATTATATGCTTATTATATTATAGGCATATATTATATGCTTCCTGTTCTCTCTCTCTCTCTCTCTCTCTCTCTCTCTCTCTCTCTCTCTCTCTCTCTCTCTCTCGTTTACTTTGGGCCTTGACATGTGGAATGACCTGACCCCTTATCACCTATATCACCTGTCCTCTTAAAATGGCACAAGAGGTGCCATTTTAAAATCCCAATTTATATGGAAAATAATATGCGAGGAAAAATATCTAGAAGAATGAAAAGAACAGTTAGTATTAATTATCTCTGAGGAAAAACTTATAACGAAATTCCAGAGTAACAAAAAAACTTTTAAGGACTACAAATGACAATTCCTTTTGAGCAATACTGAACACAGCACACTATTAGAAAGGATTTAGACAAACCACAAAAGAGATATTGCACCGGACCTGGCCCACTCTTCCTTCCTTCCTTCCTTCCTTCCTTCCTTCCTTCCTTCCTTCCTTCCTTCCTTAACTTCATTTTGTTTTTTTTTATGTGGTGCTGAAGATTGAACCCAGTGTCTCACACATGTAAGGCAAGTGCTCTACTACTGAGCCACAATCCCAGCTAGACCTGGCCATCCTTTACTCTTAAATCCCAATTTCTGTTCCACTATCCTTTTGATTTTGCTTTCTGCCTATAAATACCATTTAATGTTTGGCACTAGTGGACCTCAACATTTTTTAAAATTTGATAATTTAATTGACAGTTTTTAAACTTTATTGTTCATTGATTAAGAAAAAAAAATGTACACATACATGGATTATTTATTCCTGGGCACCACACCTGCTCTGTACCTCATATTTCCAAGAATGTTTTTGAAATATAGATCTAGAGAATATAAAAGAAAGGAAATTTGCCTTGAAATTTGTTGGTTTTTATTTTTTGTGTGGGGAGTTACAGCTTAATGAATACCGACTAAAATTAATGTTATTTTTTAACTTAATAAAATTAAACAGGAGAGATTAGGGTATAGCTCAGTGGTAGAACCCTTGCCTGGTACATATAAGGCCCCTAGATTCAATCCCAGCACTGCAAGAAAAAGAGAAAAGAAAATTAAGCCAAGGAAGCATTTTTTTTCAAGGATAAGTAATGCTCACGAAGTGGAGGAATATAAAAAAAGGGTACTATAGTGGGATAAAATCTACCCAATCATAGGAAGAATTCCAGAATTTTGTATTTATTACAGATTTCATTATTAATCCAAAGAGCTGCAGAATTGAGAAGTACTGGTAAGATTTTTAGCATATACTAGGCCTATGTGGCAATGTTAGCTAATTATGTAAGCATAGACTATAACAACAAGAAAGTGAGAAAATGAGACATTGAAGATATAAATATTCAAGGACATAATTAACTTTGCTTTATCCTGGTTTGGTAAGAATAAAGGAATAGTCATTAAAAGGAAAAAGAAAGGAGACATTAAGGTACTTGACTCTTATGATAGCATGCTATCTTGAGAAAGGACACTGGGAAACAATTTGCGTTGACTCACGTTTGAAGTTGGGAGGAAAGGAAGCAAGAGAAAGTGTTTTCACTATCTTTGTTATCTTCTGCATGGAATACTACATGGTTATGGTAAAATTCTCTTGCCACATCCCAAGAATGTTCTTTAGGCCTAAATACTATAGAGAATCTACTTTTTACCTATAAAATGGTTATTCAGCTAAAATTTGTGTTAAATTTTGCATACCAATAGTATTAACTCCTGCGTAGCATAGCAAAATTCAGATTTTTAAAATTTAGCAATTCAGAAAATATTTTGTCATTGGTCAGGTGCTGTGGTATGTGCCTGTAATCCCAGCTACTTGGGAGGCCGAGACAGAAGCGTCACAAGTTCAAGACCAGTTTTGGTAACTTAGTGAAACCCTGCCTCCTTTAAAATGAGAAATAAAAAGATCTGGGGGTATAGTTCAGTGGAAGAGCACCCCTAGGTTCAATCCTTAGTAGTTCAAAAAAAAATTCACATAAAAAAAGTGAAAATACTGTTTCCTCAAAAAGTTGAACATAGAATTATCACATGTGCCAGCAATTCCACTTCTAGGTGTATATCTAAAGGAATGGAATGCAGACACCCAAACATTATATATCAGTGTTGCTTGTAGCATTATTTGTGATAGCCAGGAGGGAAACAACAACCCAGATATTAGTTGATGGAAGGACATATAAAAAGTGGAGCATACATAAAATGAAATATCATTTAGTCTTAAAAAAGGAATGGAATTCTTATATATGCTATGTGAGTGAATGTTAAAAATGCAATGCTAAGTGAAATAAGTCAGAGACAAAAGGAAAAACATTATATGATTCCACTTATATGAGGTTCCTGAGATAGGCAAATTCTTAGACAGAAAATATAGGACTGGGGATATAGTATAGTTCAGTAGTATAGTGTTTGACTAGTATGCATGAGGCCTTGGGTTCAATTCCCAGAAACACACACACACACACACACACACACACACAGATTACCAAGGTTACCAAGAACTGCAGGAAGAGAACAACATGGAGATATGTTTAATGGGTGAAGAATTCTGTTTCAGATGTTAAGAACTGGAAATAGAAAGAATGGTTACACAACATGGCAAATGTATGTAATGTCGCTGAATTGCCCATTAAAAATGGTTGAATTAGTCAATTATATATACAATATATTTTTTTAAATATTTTATTTACATTTTTAGTTTTCGGCAGACACAACATCTTTGTTTGTATGTGGTGCTGAGGATTGAACCTGGGCCGCACGCATGCCAGGCGAGCGCGCTACCACTTGAGCCACATCCCCAGCCCCTATATATAATATCTTGATAAAATATAATTAAAAATAAAAAACACTAACAGTATTTAACCAGCACATATATTCTGAAAAAATTCCATAAACTCATACTAGAAGTGACTCTTGTTTTTGAATGTGCATGATTTTTAATCTTTCTAATCATATAACTCAATTTTACATTTATATGTTTTTCAAAGTTTGAGATTATTCAGTACTTCCAATTTCTGAACAAGCCGGGCCAGACTAGTTAATACTCTGTAGTGGAAGAATGTTCCATGCTGTTAACTAAACAAAGTTAAACAGTCCTTAAAGGATAATTAAAAATCAATCTCAGTTGTATAATATGCAGCTTTTATCATGTATAAATGACTATAAATCGTTTACCATTTCCCTGGTACATAGTTTGGAAAACACAGCTAACCAGTCTTCTTCATGATGTAATTTGAGAGTTAGTCTCCACAATTGATTGATTTATTGATTGATTCACTTGTTTGTTCATTATTTTGTTCTGTCATTATGAGTCAATCAAAGATTTATTTGTTGAGTACCAACACTGGGCCAAGCACTGTGTTAGGTGCCTTTCAGTGTCCCCGTGAGCATTCTATATCTAGACATGAATAAACTGAAATTCCTTCTGTTTACTATTTATCATTTCCCTAGTCTATCTAGTCAAAGACTTCACCCTTGGCACTGGATCCATCTCACTTCATTTGATCTCAGTGGGGGTTGGTCAGGTCTAGGTATGAAGGAACATCTTTTCTTTACCCACTGTCCAAGAGCCCATTTCTCCTTTGCTCTCCAGTAATGGAGAGATTGCTTTCTCTGCCAAAATCACAGTTCATACTACAGGACCATCTCTATTTTTCATTTAGGTGGATGTGGTCTCTCTAAGACAAAAACAAGAGATACACTGTTCTTTGGGATTCCTCTCTGCCCTTCTAGGTTTCTTCCATTTGCAGGAGGTTTACTCATTAATTCATCAAAAACATATTAAGCACCTTCTAGTGCCCTGTAATTTTTTTTAAAAACAGGCACTATAGATACAAAATGAACAATTCTTTTGCCAGATTAGAAAAACTACCCACATACAAGCTTAACAAAAATGTGTTGGGAGAGTGACAATACTATCAGCATCAGCTGAGTTATAATGATTCTAAATATCTTGAACACTCATAATGTACCAAACATTGTTCTAAGTTAATTGAATGTATTAATTTGCTCTATAACCATAACAAACCGAAGAGGTAGTTACATACATTACCCCATTCATAGATAAAGGAAGAGATCTATAGTTATTTAATAAATGGCAGAGCTGGATTCTGAACTTCGACTCCAGAGTTGGTACTATTGGTCACTATTCTGTGGTGCCTCTAGTGTTAGTATAATACAGAGGAAGGGAGGCCTCTCCTGTGAAAATCACAATGCAAGTACTTCTTGAGCTGTGTCTTGCTAAATGAGTCTACATGTCATCAAATACCAAGTAGATGTGTGTGTATGAGATGGGCAGAAAGAGCATATAGGGATTGCTGTACATATGGTTGTATAAATTGAGCACAGTGATTCCCAGCTAAGAAAATGGAGTGGGGAGAGAGGGAGACTGGAATATATATGGTCTCTCCTCACTGAGCTGTGCATCCTCAGGTGGGTCTTCACTCACCTGGAGGAAAGGATGCAGTTTGCATGAAAGAAAAATATACAGTACATGCAAACTGGGAAGGATGAACTGGAGATTAAAATTTAAATGAAAAAATTTGATTTTAAAGAATCTTTGTGTGCTTATCTTCTAATTCTTGCCTCATCATTCCAATGCTTCAGATACAGTTATCAAGACTGCCTTCTTGTCATAATGGAGCTGCATAGTCCAAAGTGTACACTCTAAAGTATCCCTATTCCAAAATTAATTTTTCTTCCTCTCTATGAGAATATTTCCACATTTTCAGATATGGCTAATAACTGATTGGTTTCTTCATAGTTCATGTCAAATTATAAATCACTGATCATCCTCTTAAAATTCGAAAAAGAGCTGTGTGTGTGGTGGTGCACACCTCTAATCCCAGCAGCTTGAGAGACTGAAACAGGTTGATCGTGAGTTCAAAACCAGGCTCAGCAACAGGGAGGCACTAAGTAACTTAGTGAGACCCTGTCTTTAATAAAATACAAAAATTGGGCTGAGGATGTGGCTCAGTGGTTGAGTGCCCCTGAATTCAATCCCTGTACAAAAAAAAAAAAAAAAAATGTAAACACTGAATCATGAATAAATTATTAAAAAAAAAGTTTGAGACCAGCCTCAGCAATTTAGCAAGGCCCTAAGCAATTTAGTGAAACCCTGTCTCAAAATATAAAAAAGTCTGTAGAAGCAGCTCAGTGGTAAAACACCCTTGGTTTCAATCCCCAGTACCAAAAAACAAACAAGCAAAACAACAACAACAACAAAACAAAACAAAACAAAAAAAACCCTCTAAACTCTAAAAGGAAATTGTTTATTAATAAAAAGAGCATTTGCTGGGCATGGTGGTGTAATCCCAGCAATTTGTGAAGCTGAGGCAGGAGGACCATAAGTTTGTGGCCAACCTGGTCAATTTTGAGAAAACTTGTCTCAAAAAAAAAAAAAAAAAAAAAAAGCAGGGGCAGGGGAGCGGGCAGGTAAGACTGCAACTCAGTAGTAGAGCACCCCTGGGTTCAATCCTAGTACCAAAAAAATAAAATAAACCTTCAATTAGTAAAATTTCAGGCAGGAGGCAGATGTTTTTGGACAAAAGAACAATTTAACAACTTATAGGTAAAATTAAGATGTCTAGCCATCCATATTCCATGTAGGTTTAAGAACCTCATGATGGCAGTGCCTCTTACTTGGCCTCTCCTTACAACTAACACTAGAAATGTACTGCCAAGTGTGTGTTTCCCATGTTTCATATCATCTGCTGCCCCTCTTTAGGCCCACTATCAGCTCTGTTTCTTTGATCTTCTGGGAATTAAACTGGTGCTAACTTGACAACTGTCTCTAGTTTAATTACCAAAAGGTACTTTCCCAAATTCACTCCAGAAAGTCACCTTTAGCCCTAGCCCCAATCCCAGTTTGGTTCACTTAAACCAGACCAAAATGTTTTTCTGGAACATTTAACATGATAATCTGACTCCATTATCTAATATTAATTTAATATGAACTCAATAGTATATAAGGTTGTTATTTATAGTGAGCCCTGAAGCGTTTTGTTGGCTTTCTCTCTCAAGGTCTTCTTTTAAAATGCAAATGCTCTAAGTGTGAATAGCACTTTCAACCCATTACACTGGGGTGTTAGTGACTTTTTTGATTGTCTTTTTTTTCCTCTGGAGGAGCTTAGGCAGGATGGTTGGAAGAGGGAGGAGGGAGGACAGGGAGAGGGGAAAGGAAAGAGGCAAAAGAGATAATTAAAATGAAGAGGAGGAATACGCATAATCAAAATTGCCAGAACTAACTATCCTGTTGATAATTTTTTTCCCACATTTTTTTTTTAAATTGGTGCATCATTGTTGTAAACAATGGCGGGATTCGTTGCTACATGTTCTTTATTCACACAATATAATGATATCCTGTTGATAACTTTTACTTTGGGGACAACACTTTACCACCTGGGGAAATATATCACATGAGTTACTTATTAATTGATATCTCTCAGGAAACCAAGGAGACCTTCATAATTTTAGAAGACATTTCATAGTATTACAGAGATGCAAGCTCTCCTACCCTTGATATGTAAGAAACAAGTTTTTTATTCACATATCTCATAGTCTCCAAGAATTCTTTAAATGTTGTGAAATAATAAAAACCTTTTCTTAAACTGTGACAATACTATACATGCCTTGGGACATGTTTGACATAGGAAAAGTATCTCCTCTAAGCTATCTAAAGGGAAAAGAAAAAAAAAAGGAATCTCATATATATAAAAAACCCAGCATCTTAGAGAACTCAAGAGCAAGATACAGACGCAGATGTCCCAATGGATTGGAATGGAGAGAAGAAAAGTTGTCAATGACCAAGGTGACACTTGGGATGTTTTTCCCTTTTCCTCAGTCTCTTCCTTTCCCCCACTCTATATTTATTATAGTCTTTAATTTTTCTTAACTTGATTCTTTTTTTCAGAAAAGTTGCTTTCTTATCTCCACTTTTATATGGTACATTATGTTGAGTTGCCAGATTTAGCAAATGAAAATACACAATGCTTGTATTTTTTCTGGCAACCCTAAAATAATACCTGGCCAATCCAGTGCCCTCATTTCCTGAGTCCACTTGACCCATAACCCAGAGATAATTTACAAGCTTCTCTGTCCTAATCAAAAGTGAAAAGGAAAAATCTGATTAGTCCATCTTGGGCTGCTGTCCAGCCCTGATCAAATCCAGTGTTTGCTGGGACTTGTAAAGCAGTCACAGGAACCCCCTGCCTCCCATAGTTGGGAATTAATGTCAGAAAAGGGGAAAGTGCCAATAAGCCAGTCCAAAATCTTATAATAAACTTAGGCTTTCAGTAAACATTCCATTATAGTTATTTTGTTGCTTCTCTTTTGGCCATTCACAACATTCTTTATATAATATTTTAATCATTTTCCTTTATGCATAGTGGCACCTAGTGACTTTTTATTTATTACCCATCACTTAAATGATGCTAATTAAATATGGGATAAAATAATCTATATTATCAGCATCAATAGCACTGATAGCTACAAGTCACAGTATCATCAATCCACTTGGGGTCATAATGTTATAAGAAGCAGAGCATGGAGGGAAGGAAATTGAACTTGAATTACATGACCTAGGCTTGAAGACACATGATTTAGGTTTAAATCCTAGCTCTACTTGCTACTTGCGGTGATGCCTTAAGTGTTTCATAACCTCTTTTAGTTTTGGTTTCTATAAAACAGGGATAAATATGCCTGTTCTGGCCACTTGCCAGGAACATTAATCAAATGAGATAATGTATGTGAAAGTGTTTTATAAACTATAAAACATTTCACAAACATAAGATTATTCTTCTTATTGTTGCCCAATAAAAGATGCCCAATAAATTATATGTATATTCAAGAAAAATATCATTACTATATTAACATTTATTATCAGCTAAAGGTATAAAGATAGAATTATTCAAATAAAAATACAGTCTCCTGAAGTGACTATCACTATATGTACCAACTTTAAAGACAATATTATTCTTATTACTTATTATTTTTTAGTGCATAATTTAAAAGCACACTGAGCTTGGGAAGAAACCTACCATCACAACAACAAAATATGGGTATCAAAGCCCTTGTGGTTTGGCCTTTAACATCTTTAACCCGCATTGTTACAGGTAAGATCTTTGAAGCTTTCCCTGTTTAATGTCCATGCTTGTGCCACTGTCTCATCTCTTATTCTCATTTTGTTATAATCTCCATAAAGCATTACTGTTCATTCATCTCTTGCATCACATAGAAATTTTAGTATCAGTATATATACTCTCTTCTGATTTCATTTTTCTCCATGATCTTAAGCATCTTCATTTAGGGAAAATGAGAAACAACTGTTCTTCACAAGTGGTGGGAAACCTGCGGAAAAGCAAAGGTTTCTTGACTGCTGAAAATGCCTTCCTTTTTGCTGCTGAAAATGCCTTTCTTTTTGCAATGAGTATGGAACATATTGGTCCTGTCTAGTGATTTCCAGATCTTAATGGGGGCATGGCATACATAGGTACCCAATGAATGATTATTGAATGGAAAAATTGATTACAGCTTGATTAAATTATTATATGTTCAAGTAGATCAATATCTTTCTGTTGTTAGTCATTTAATCATCTAAAAATGACATTACAAGGATTTTGACCTTGAAATTATCTATGGATACAATTCCTCAACTAGCCATTGAACAGATTAATTAATATTATAATTATTAGAAATAATAATTAGAAATAATTATTATTTATTTTTGTGGTGCTGGGGGTTGAACCCAGGACCTTGTGCATGCAAGGCAAGCACTCTACCAACTGAGCTACATTCCCAACCCTAGAATAATATGTTTTAATCAAATACTTTTCATTTGCCTTATTTGAGAAATACTTGTCAATACACATTTTGAATAGTGATAAGGCAATATCTATATCCTTTTTTGTATGAATGTGTTTTTTTATTATTTGAAATGTTAAAGTCAACTGAATTCATGTCTAAAAAAACTGAGTTGAATTTCAAGCCTGTGCTGTTATGTTTGAAATGATTCACCAAAAAAAAAAAAAAAGAAAAAGAAAAGAAAATAAAAGAAAGAAAGAAAGAAAGAAAAAAGAAAAGAAAAACAAGCAGACTATTTCCAGGCAAGATTTATGTTTACAAGTTGTGGAATGATTGCTTATTTTAACCGTGAGATTGATCTTGGGGTGATGAATTTTTAAAACAAGATGAACTATGGCCAATTACATCTAGAGACACAGAAAATGAGTTAAAAAAAGAAAACCTAGGAAGGATAAAGTTGCATCAAGGGGCAGGTTTTAATATGAAATTGAATCACTAGTTATTATTCTGTTTCTTTTGTTGGAATCACAGATCTTGTAGTTAGAATATTTGAACTAGTTAATATTATCAGGTTTGCTCAGATGGTTACTGCAGAGTCTCTAATTACTCATCATTTCATGATGTTTTATTTGTTCCACATTATTGCTTACCATCACTATTCAGGTTTATAGGAATCTGCCCTTTGTTTATAGCATCAGTTTTCTTTCCTTAGTCCTGAAAATCTATCTGCACTTTGTTGCTTTCCTTGGTGACTTGTTTCTTGCTTATGTCCCAAGTTTCTGCCTAACTGGTTGGAGGAATACTTCTGGGCTTGCCACTGTAATTTGTTTAATCAGGTCCAGGTCATGGGAACAGAACAATGATTCTAAGAATGATTTGCCCTCAGCTGAGGTCTGGCCACCCTAGAGATTAGACTTCACATTATGGGAGCCACAGCATCCTGTCTCAAAGCAGGGGATGTGTAGCCCTGAGAAATCATTTTGGGAAAAAATCTGGGAATTAACCTGGAAATGAGGGAGCTGATGGATAGACTGAAAAAAAAAATCTTTTTATGATCCAATGGCAATTGCAATGGTCAGACCCTACCTCAACTGTCTTGCCTTAGTTAAAATCAATATAGTATGTTTTTTTTTTTAATTGTTTCTACTTCATAAGAAATCACAGTCATGTATCAGTCAAATCTTTTCTTCTCAACTTTTTATGTAAAATTTCACTAAATTGAGTTTGGGATTGTAAATATTAATTCATTTATTAAAATAAAATCTGTATAGAGAGAAAGAGACATAACCTTTAAAAAAAATCTTACATTATAGTAAAAGGGACATTTTGACACTCTACAAAGATGTCTATTTACTGAAAACAAAGGCAGAACATTAGATTAATGGCACAGTAACCTAAAAACTCTACCCTCATGTTTGTTTACCACACCATAGACTTAGTAATTGCATAAATATATTTATTTTGCCTCCCATACTGAGGTTTTATAAAATTATATCTGAGATCATTTTTGGTCCCATTTGAAGCTGGAAAATAAAAGCCTTCCATAGAAAGTAATTAAAGTTTTTTATTTATTTTTTTCTCACATACTTTTTTCATAAAGTATAACTTGCTGACCCCAAATGGACTTGGAGGACAGTGATGGGTAATTACTTAAACGGAGGCTGTGGAGCATGCAAAGAAAACCAAGCTATTGAAGTATGGTAGTATTCTTTGGATATAACAATTTTAAGTATATATATATATATATATATATATATATATATATACACACACACACATATATATATACTCACTTAAGTAGGCTCACTTCAAAATACTATTAAGATAAACCTTGCAACATGAATGGGATCCCTAATGACTGACTTATGGATTGTTACAAAACCAACTCAAAACACAATATTTGGAAAATCTGGTCTCTATTGGGCAATACAGCCAAGGGGGTTGGGGGAGGGATGTGGTAAGAAATGAGGTTCTCATTAACATTCTCAAAACTTCAGTGGCTAGAAGAGAAAAATAAGTCTTTTGTATCCTTATCATATTTGTGTAAAAAAAAATTACTGTTCTAAAAAAATTGTGCAATAGAGAGTAGTCATAGCTAGAGCTTTAAAAGATTGCAATACACAGGACATGTATGTCATTTAATTATGTGATTTACCTGTTCAGACATGTCTTTGATATCCCTGAGTATTCATCAGAAGTTCAAATATAATTTTAAGTACTTAGCAACATGCATATATAGCATTTGCATAATTACATTTTTGGTAGGTAAAGTAGAACAGTAAGATTTGTTTTAGATAGATGCATCTAAAATAAACGGCATTTTCTCAAATTATGTTTCCAATTGTTACTTTTTAGCTAAAAAAAAAAGAAATAAACTTTGCCATTAAAAATCTGTTTCCTTTTCACACTAATGCTAATATTTTAAATGTATTTTAAGCAATCAGGTTTTGTCATAATGTATGCATGTTAATTGTTAACTTATAAGCACATTGAGACGAATTTGAACCTTTTTTTCCCCTCATTTAGCAACATTTCAAGGAATTAGTATGTGCATAAATTTTAAAATCTCCTCTCCTCCTTCACCTTTTACTGAATTGGTTTAGTTCTCAATATTAGAGTATTTGCAGTTCACAAAGAAAGTAGAACAAATAATTAAATATCTATGTATTGTGGGAACAACCAAAATTCAAAATAAGGATAGAGAAGCTTCTAGGAGCCTTCTTTCTCTCTGACTAAACCTGCCACACCTCGTCATGAAAGGACAAAGTTCAATGGGTGAACAAGTACAAGCTTTTCTTAAAGTAGTGGCTCACAGATGTTTTTCAGTAACTCTTTGACAGCAACATGCTGCACACCTCATTCCCTTCACTAATAAGTGTTTTTCTGAAAGTTACTTATGAAGTAGTTCATAAGCCAGTCCCTTACTAAGTTTCAAAACAAGGGAAGACCCAAACCTAACAGTAGTTTAGTGCTCTAAGATTATAAACATGAAGACTCTTAGGAATTATCCAGTAAGCTTCACTGTGATAGGACAATGCTTGAATATAAGAAAATGGAGAAAAACAAATCTCTAATACTCTTTGGATGACAAAAGGGAAAAACCATATAGAAATAGCTGTGTTTTAAAAAAAAACTTTATTTTAGTTATTTTAATATTTTTTTAGTTGTAGTTGGACACAACACCTTTATTTTATTTATTTACTTTTAGGTGGTGCTGAGATCGAACCCAGCACCTGCTAGGTGAGTGTTCTGTCACTGAGCTACAATCCCAACCCCTAATAGCTGTGTTTAAAACAAACAAACAAAAAAAAGGTTAATAATACTATTATGAGGTAACCTAGGATTATAGATCTTGAGACTTCTAGGTTATTATTATTATTATGGTGGTACTGAGAATTAAACCCAGGGGTGCTCTACTACTAAGTTATATCCCCAGCCCTTTTTAAAAAAATGTTTGTATTGAGGTAGAGTCTTGTTAATTTGCCCAAGCTGGCCTTGAATTTGTAGTCATCCTGACTTAACCACCCTACTAGCTGGTATTACAGGTCTGCACCACCATGCCCAATTTAATTCTAAATTCATAGTGGTTGGAAAAAGAAATAAAGTATTCTACACCACCAAGCATTCTTATCTGCAACAACTTTTTTAAAATTTTTTTAATTTGGAGTTATACTGATTGTGTATTCATACATAAGCATAGGAAAGTTATGTCCAATTCATTGCACTCTTTCCTATTCCTATCCCTCCTCCCTTCCCTTCATTCCCCTTTGTCTAATCCAATGAACTTCTCTTTTTCTGTCCCCCAACCCCTTACTATGTATTAGCATCTGCATATCAGAGAGAACATTTGGCCTTTGGTTTTTTGGGATTGGCTTATTTCACTTAGTATGATAGTCTCCAGTTCCATTTCCTGGCAAATGCAATAATTTCATTCTTCTGTATGGCTGATATTCCACTGTGTATATATACTACATTTTCCTTATCCATTCATCTGTTGAAGTGCACCTATCTTACTTGCAACTTCTTTATAAAAGGTGAAAGGTGAAATTTGTCTTAGGTTACCATCCTCCTTTGTTTCAGTAGGATTCATATTTCATGAGTCAAATACTATACATTAAGTAAATAACATTTTTAAGTTGGATACTTGTAAATTAAGTACTCATCATTACCCTGAAAGAAGCCATTGGTAAAGTCATCCAAAAATAGATCCCTAAGTTTATTGCGTCTTCTGGAGACGCCAGGTTTATCAGGAGATTTTAATTATATGGCTTGGCTCTGCTTTCTCTAGCTGAGCTTGAGATAGGGGTTGGAA